TTTCAATAATTGCCCATTTTTAACCAATTTTAATCAACCGTGTAACCTTATCAACATACCCATTTTAAAGTTTAGACAATTAGCTTTCCAACGGTGTATTAAATTCAATGTTTAGACCGTTATTCGCTGAGAAAATTGCATTTGTTTCAAATGCATTTTTTCTACAATTTTCAAAATTTTCCTAAGTCTGATGTCTGTGGCGCAATGAGTTTTCATCACAGAGGGCTGAAATTTTGGGCATCTACGTTTGAACTATCTGGCTATCAAATGGTTTACAAGATACGTCATTCAAAGCAAGTCAATTTTTCGATTTTTGGCCACCACTTTCCCCATAGTGCGGTGGTGTCTCGTTTTGTGCCCGTGGTATAAGAAGCGAAACTCCTCCCCTTTTCAGTATTTTGCTACCCAGTGTATGTCTTGTTCCCTCCCTGTATTAATAATATGATACTCAGCATTGCCAGTTATCTGGATTTTACAGATTTTCAGTCGTCTTGCCAGATACACAGATAGATCACGATTATTTCCAGATCTTCCCAGATTTTTTAAATGTGTGACCCTCTTATCATAAAATAAAAATCCAAACTAACTACTTTAATTACTAAAGGCTATCGTTGGACATTATTGCAACATCATACATGAAATTGTTCAGACAAAACAGAATCATGAAAATTGAGACATTTTCTAAACATTGTTGGCTGTCAAAAATCTTCAAATTTAAAAAAAAATATCGAGCCAGGTTTTTTTTATTTTGAGTTTTTGTTTAATTTTTGACTTTAATTAATTTTTTTTGGTATCCTGGAAGGAATTTTCCTAATTTTGGAATTTAGAGAAATCGAAAAATGTTCAGGATTGAAAACAATAAATTGAGCTTTGGAAAATTAGCAAGGCTTTTAAATCTAGACAACCACCAGGACTTTAATGTATGTTCGTGATATTTTTGAGAATAATTAATTAGATTTTGAAATAGAATTTTAAAGTACCTGTGAATATTGAGTTACCTTAGCAGTCTGAAATACTTTAGAATTCTGAGTTGCCCTAGATTTCAGAATTTTAAGGTAATTCTGAAAATAGTTTACAGTGTAGTTTGTGCAACCTTTGATTGAAGTGAATACGGTATAAATTGTCTTTTGCAAACTCGGATGACAATTGCATGGACATTTTGTGAAGAAAGGAAATAGTTAGAATTCGGAAGAGAAATCATAGAACATTCTTAAGATGAAACTTAAGGAGAATGCTGATATGAATCGTGAGAATAATTTTAATTGAATTCTGTTCAATGTTTCTATGGAGATTAGGTTTTATCAAGTTTTAAAACATCTGGAAATTTCTGGGAGAATTTCAAGGCTATTTTGGCAAAGTACTTGAGTACTTAGAGTATACTGAGTCTGAGAAGAATGTGACGGTCATTCTGAAGAGCGTAGCAAGGAAATTATTAACAATATTCTAAGGAAATTTCATAGAGAAAAATAGAGACAAAATTATGCCAATTCTTGGAAATTATTACCAGTTTGAGGGAATTGTGGAATCAGAGAGCGAATTATAAGATATTACAAGCGATAATGCTAAGCACTGTTAGAATTTTACTGGAAAAGTTTGGATATTATCAAGATTAGTTTAGGGAAATCCAGAACAGAAGTATGATGAAATTCTAGGATGAATAAAATAGAACTCTGTAAATGAAGTACATTCAGACTAACAAAAAAATCATGATTTGGGACACAGGATAAAATATAAATTCCAGAATTTAAAATAATTTCAAGATCTTTTCGGACGCTTTCAGGCTTTCATGAATTAACGTAAGCTTCTGGCACAAAATGAGTCGAACAAATCCGGCGTTGTCAAACAGCAGCAGCACCTCCGGTAAAAAATATTTGTGCTAGTTCTTCAGAGCAGCAGAACTGTACCCACAATGCGCAACTATGAAATCGTAATTTTCTTATAAATTCTTCGTAACGATTGTTTAAATCAAAACTGCTTACTTATCTTGCTGTTTTAGCCGGCGCCGGTGGTGTAGTGGTAAGCGTGACTGCTTTCTAATACCCCAATGGGTCTGGGTTCAATCCCTGTCGAGGTCGGTGGGATTTTTCTGAGGCATAAAAAACTCTGGTCACGTTTTCCTTCGGAAGGGAAGTAAAGCCGTTGGTCCCGGCCCATGTGTGTTGTGAATGGGTGCGATATCCTACGCAGGTGTGGAAGCTTCCTTCCGGCACATTCGATTGCCGTCAATGGATGGCAATCGATGTCCGTCGGTGATTGGCACTAGATTGTGGAACAGAGACCGACGTTAAATAAAGGAAAACATCTTGCTGTTTTGGGAAGCTGTGGAATGTTTTCCCAGGTGTATTTCCAACTCTATTAGGGCACAAACCAAATTCACATTTGCGTCCCATCCTTTAGTCGCGCGATGTCAATAAAAACAAAATAAATTACAGTTCGAATTGTTATGGCTAGTGGAATGCTTCACTGGCGCCACCATGCCAAAAGTGGCCACATTACCAACTAATTTGAAATAACGGCGCCGGTGGTGTAGTGGTAAGCGTGATTACCTCTTACGAAAAAAAAAACTAATTTGAAATGACCACCACGAAACGTGCTTCCGCATTATCCAGGCCCGTTGTTAAGTAGCAACCGTGTTCGCTGCTGATTTAGATCCCTGGAAGAGCTTCTCCCGTGCCTGATCGATGACCAGCTATACGCTTTCGTCAACTTCATTGCCATTCATTGCTTTCCAAAATGCAAAGTCGAAATCAATAGAAGGTTACTACAGCGGGCTGTCAATCAGATGTGTTTCGATGTTGGCTTTGTTGTTCCGCTCGGGCCAGTTTGTCTGGTATCAGTATCAGCATGTCCTACTGAAGTGTCTCTGGATCATCGTCTCCACTGCTAATTGTGTTGTAGCTTCAAAATAAAACATTTGAGCTGTCAAATTAATCGAGTTTCCATACATGCCTTTATTCACAAGCAAACCATGCCAGTCCCATGACTGGCACTCTCGGAACTGCCGCGGCACACTGAGAAAAAAGTTGGCGCTAAATGAGTGTGTAGAGTTAGCACCCCTTGGTTGAATCAACACTTCGCCCATCTGATTTAGTTTGTGTTCAGATGTGCATCACTCTGCATGTCACGTCGTGAATTTTAATTGTTGCTTCTCTGTGATTCCTCCATTTCCTCAACTCTTCTTGTCTATTCCTGATCGATTGCTTATTTGAGATGCCATTATCATTGGATTTTCCTGCTCATTTTGTACTCCATACTCTCGTTGATTTACACTAGTTTGATTACCTGCCTGCTGTCGCGGGTTATGCACTATGCTGTCGTGATGATTCCAACTTGCTTAATTTCGGGTACGTTCTGTGATTCGGTGAGCAATTCTTATATTTCCGTTTGTCGTTCCTGATTCATTGAATTTGATGAGTGATCCGAGTCTTTTCCAAATATGTCTGTTACGGCTATAATTGTTTGTTCCTCCCCACTCGTCCGGTGTCTCGAGTCGGTTGGGAAAATGCGTCATATTTACACCTTGCTCCCATTTATGATCAAAACGGATTTTCCACACCGTTCGAGAGTAGGCTGTGCGTGTGTTCGAACCTGACGTTTGTTTTTTCGGTGGAATTTTTTTTTATCTACAATCAGTTGCTGATCTGGCCATAACCAGGCCCAGGAGACAATTTCTAGGTCCCTATTATTTGCCGCTGAGAAGCTGTTCCGAAGCCAAGTAGAACCTCCACGAGGCGTCCCATCATTCGTTGAGTCGCAGCGTTGAACCTGACTATTGGCCACGAAAAGGCTTGCCAATGCACATCAAAATCGACTACATACATCCGAACATTTGTTTATTTCAAATCAAAAACTAGTTCACGTTGGTCTTTGTCAACAATTTGGAATTCTACATCAACACATGTCAGGCAGCCTTCACGTTCAATTGGCTAAGCTTGGTTGAGTTCGTTCCTTTTTGTAAATTTTTATCTTTTCAAACCAGTAACGTTGGGAGATCACCGAACCCTAGTCGTGACAACTTCAAACTAGGGAATCAGGATTTTCCAGTAATCAAAGGATCACATTTTAGTCCTTGCTACTTTTTATGACTTGATAATAGTGACAAGACTCGGGTAGTGACCACCGCGCCGTTATGCATTTCTATATTGTATATTTCAAATCAAAAATATTGTTCATGTTCATAGATTTCACTTAATCCGTTTCCCTTTGTCCTTCTCCTTTTCCTTTCCCTCTTCTCTTTTCAGAAAGCGAGTAATGGCGCTATAGCCATAAGTCATAAAAGGCTAGGACAAGAGTTAGTGTTCATACGCCAACCGTCAGAAGAAAATGGAGCATCACTTAACCGTTCTAGCTTTGATGCTTCCAACGACCAACCAATCATATAATTACCAAAATCGGAACGTACGGTCAGAGATGTCCACGTTTCATCCATTTATTGGATTCTGAATCATCGTGTTTAAATCTTCGATTTAAATAGGCCTGATGTTTTCTGAATCATCTTGCCCCTTAAATGCTGCACAGTAGGCCTGGCCGTTTTAATATGTGTGACGCAACTTCGATGTGAAACATATATCAAATAGACAAGAAAAATGATGTAGGTATATATATATCATTTTCCAGGATGCTTTCAAGAACTGGCTGTGTTGGTGTTAGATTAGATTAGATTAGATTAGAAAACGGATTCTCCACACCGTTCGAAAACGGGAATAAGGGCGTGCAATACTTAAATAAACTAACAACGGTGAGTTCGGACTGCAAAAAGTGCACGTGGCCCTCTGCATGTCAAACTGAGAACTGTCTCACTTACGCACCCCATTTAATTGCCCTGGTGGCGACTGGCGAAACCACTTGTATTGCTTTACAGTTTACAGCGGTCCACAACCAGATGGCTTCGAGACGTGCACAGTAGCGATCGAAATGAACGGAACCTGCTTTATGATGAAAGTCTGTAATTGGTGGTTTGATTAGGATGATTTCTCATTAAGTAAATTTTCCGCACTCGATTTTTCAACATTTACATGTTTTGATGTATTTGTCTCATTGAAGTGAAGTGTGTTAGTTATTGTAATGTAATTTATCGTTACTGTTTAAAAATCTACTATTATGAGTTTTTTTTTTTATAATACGATAACGCTACTTTCTGAGATAAATGTGTTGCTGTTGTTGTTTTTGTTGTTGTTCTAGTAGTAGTTTATTAATTTGTTCTGATCGATAATCAATAGCTGTCGCATTAAGCTGCTTCTTGTCTTGTGTGAGTGCAAGTGCTCAGTGGGTGGGGTGGTGCTTAAATGTTTTGACTATTATAAGAGACAGGTGTCTGAGTTATTTGTTTCGTGTAATTTCTGTACTGCAGTCAAAGAATGATGAAATGAAGACCTAAATCGCACTATTGCTGCTCATTAATCTATTTGCCTACCAAGTAGTCTGGAATCTATTTGTATAATTTGCATATTTATATCAAAGGTTTTGGACTTTACGAAAATATATTAAAAAATGTTATAACAAATAAAATCGCTTTTTCCTTAAACTTGCCTGTGTTGTTGCTTCTTGTCCAATATAAGTTCTGTTTCACTGTTGTTATCTCATTTAATACAAATGTCCTAGTTAGAATTATGTAATCCCTAATGTATTTTACTTCCTTTTCGCTAAACGCGCTGTGTACTCGCTCGCCAGCGATCTCACTTAAATACTTTCCTCTTTTCAATCATTTTTAGCACATAGATCTACGATGTATCAGTAATAAAATGCAGAATTGGGGAACAAGTTTTGTAACAAGTTGAATGCCTTCTACTATTTTTTTTTTTACAGTGAATTTTAATTAAGAAAAAAGTACACATCTATCAAATCGTAATCGTACTTCACAAGGTGACACTTTGATACCAGTTATACGTTCTCTAATATAAGTTGTAATAGTTTGTTGTTGTTTGACGTTTGGAGGCAAAAATTGACCGAGTCTTCCCGCTCGCTTTTTGTGGGAAACAACACTTGTTTCGAATGAGGGAAGGGAGGGAAACTGTTATCATCATATCCGTATTATTTTTTCTTGTTTTTGTTAGGTCACTTATGTTGAATAGTATAAAAAATAGCTAACACTCTATGCAAATATAGGACTTCGATACGAATCGCTTCTCAACATCTGCTCATAGAAAAGGTTTCTTGGTTTGTTGTTCCACACATTACCACAGTTTACTTGCGCTCCCCTCCATCGCGCCTAAACTTCGCTAAGGTCAAAACTGGATCTAAATACTCTATAGTCGCTCTGGTTCTGTTGGTTGTTTAAAATATGTACGCATCCATCTAATCTAACACGTGTCCTAAATTGTTCTTCTTGCGGTAAAAGGTATTTTATAAAAAATGAAAATATTTTTCTCTTTTCCTTTGTTTTTGGTCCAATGGGTTCCTCTAGTGAAGTTTTATCATTTCCATAGTGTTTCATAATGTGCTATGTTAGTAAGCTTAATAAAGGGTTCACTTCAATTCGTCCCTCTTTTTTTACATTTTACATTAATGTAGAATTTGTTTTACAAGAATAGCTTAGCAAAATGTTTTTTTTTTTCCTTTAATAGTAGTTAAACTTCATCTTTATACACCTCTAAAGAAGTAACAACAAAAAAAACTACTAACTTGTCCAAATCGGTCAATTTATCTAAATCTATACACAAACCACCATTCGCTTGTCTCGTTCACTAGTAGAAAATAGATAAATAGATGTTAAAACCAACTGTTTCCTTGTCCACAAAATAATTCTCCAAACGAAAACAGCTTCGTCCTATGTGTATGTGTGTGTGTTTTGTTTTGTTATCCCTATACAGTATAAGATATGAATACTACCCACTTAATACCGATTCGTTTCGTACCAGCCTAATATACGAGAAACAATTACGCACTGTGCACAGTGCGTGAGCCGGTGAGTTTATGTATGTGTGTGTGTGTGTGAGTGGGGAAAGGCATGAAAAAGGCATAAACGTGTGATTCCGGGGGCGGATGGATAACTGAGTGGAAATTTGGAATTGACGCTCAATGTACGGCATCGATGTCCCGCTGGGCACGGGAAATCTTCAGCTTGTCCTTGGGGGTGTTGTTCTCACCCGATTCCAGGGCGAACATCTTCATCTTCTCCTTAAACGACAGCTTCTCCGGTACGGGTTCGGCCTTCTGTCGCTGCTGCTGTTCCGCCAATCGACGCGTGCGGGGATCACTGTGTGGAATGACAATTGGGAACAGTTAGTGTCTGTGGAAAATTTTAAGCACAGAGGAGGTAGGTATTTACCGATAGACTTCCTGGGCACCGATGACGCCCGGGGTTATCTGAATCTGCATGTTCCAACTTTCTGCTTCCGGGGTGGTCGGGGTGTGCAGCATTGCCGGCATGGTTTCGTCGATGAAGCGCTGTGGGATAGAGAACATACAGTGAATTCATATGGAACTGCATGGAGTTGTTCCCTAAGTTCTACAAAGTTTCCTAAACTTCTACGGAATTTCCTGAACTATTTCAAGTCCATTAAACTTTACCGAAGTGGCTTGAAGTTATTATTGATCGAATTGCTAATTGCTCATGAATGTCTGCAAATTTCTCTGAAGCAATGATGGTGACGACTGGGACTTGAGGGGAACTCACGGAGAATGTCACTGTCGCGATGATTTTGAGAAGCATCTCCTCCTCGTACGACACCCTCACAACCGCCTTCGAAAGCCGGTCGGATGACGACCTTACGCTGGAGCTAGTCAAAAGGAAGCTCTTGGACGAGACAGCAAAGCGACAGGGTGCTGGATCGAGCTCGGTCATGACAGCAAGAAGAAGAAGAAGCAGCCAATTGAATGCCACTATTGTCGAAAGCTGGGGCATAAACAAAAGGAGTGCCGCAAGTTCGCCCGTGATTCGGAGCAGGGACCTCAACAATGGAAAGCCACCAGCAAGAAGGATATAGTTTAGTTCGCTCTAGCTGCAGAAAGAGCATCGGATGGTGAAGTTGTCAACTCGTGGGTCGTTAATTCCGGTGCTACACGGCACACCGTAGCGGATCCGGAAGCCTTTCTGGGAATTGCGTGAAAGCGAAGATAAGTTCGTCAATCTGGCGGACGGGAAACAAGCGGAGGTGCGCGGTGAAGGTTGCTGCGTCGTAGAGTGCGCCGACGAGCATGGGCATCGTCGTGAAATGGACATCAGCTTTGCGCTCTACGCCCCCACCCTCTCGATGAACCTGCTTTCCGTCCCGGCTCTCGTTCAAAAACAAGCTACAGTTGTCTTCGACGCTACCGGCTGTCGGATTCTTCGTGGATACCGGAAGACGTCGTGATGGTGGCAAGTGGCCACCATAACAAGGATTGCCAGCATGTTTGGCATCGCCATTTTGGCCACCGGGATCCGAAAGCAATCGACCATTTGATGAAAGAAGAACTAGTGGATGGTCTGACGCTCCGCACCCCCTTTTCCGAGTGAGTCTCATTCCAGATCGAAAGCACCAATGGCACACGGACATCTGCGGCCCGGTTGAGGTGCCTTCGGTCGGCGGTTACAGGTAGTTTATGACCATGATCGACGACCACAGCTGATTTTGCGCCCTGTACCTATTTGAAAGAGAAGTCCCAAGTCGCCACAAGAATCGAAATGGTACGATACATGCTTTTCGATGCACAGTTAGAGCAACGCAACTGGGCAGGCCGGGTAAAGCAGGTGCATAAGAACGCCTATCAATGGTTGTTGGGTTCTGCCCTGACCGGCGATTTGCGACCTCTGTGCACCTGAACTCCGATTTTTACCTCCACGCGGTGCCCGGTGGGGTTGCTGGCGGTGATATTTGCCGTCAGTAATGCGAACAAGAACGGGGGATCATCGTTGTCACCAAAGCACTACTGTCAATACATCGGTAGTGCCCGTGATGACGATGACAGAGCAAAAAGGTTATAGCCAACTCTAAGTAGCCTGTGATTATCGCTACCTGGGGATGCTAACCGGCTGTGTCTGGTTACGACTTGGCCGTCCTGAATGAACTATCTCCACCTCCTCAAGGTGGTTTGTTTAAAAGGACGTTAATAAATGGAAGCACAGGAAGCTACTGGGCAGGCCGGGTAAAGCAGGTGCATAAGAACGCTCGTCAACGGTTGTCGGGCTCTGCCAGACGATCGGCGACTTGCGATATCTGTGCATCGGAACTCCGATTCTTACCTCCACGCGGTGCTCGGTGGGGTTGCTGGCTATGATGCGTTGTAGCCAGAAACGCAAACAAGAACGGGGGAGTCCGAAAGGTTTTGAGTGTGTGCAGGATGGGACCTAGTCATGTCTTAGGCCCATCCGATTACCGTGCTCAGCCTTTCTGCCGGCAGTCAGTTGTCTACCGGACTTTAAACAATTGTAGATAGTGAATTTCGTGTGGCTAAAGTTTGTTCAGGATGAATGCATTCTGTAGGTAGAGTGTATGGACCTACTTCTAGCGTCCACGTTTGAAGCAACGGAGCGATTCGGGCTGGCAGATGGAACCTCCCGTCTTAAGTGTTTCCGTTCAGCGTGACAGGGGTGAGGCACTGTCCTATATTTTTTCCCCAAAGGTTTGCATTGGGAACAGACTCCGGCGGCCTCGGCCCGAGAGGGTCTCTCCCGTACGAAATAGTTGATTATGCAAAACACAATCAGCTATTGTGAGGGTCGACGGACCCTGGCGAAAAATAAACGCAGCGGGACGATTGTTCTCCACATGGAGGCAATCGATGGAGGGAAGAATGTGGCGTGGAACCATCTCAATGTGGCTTCAGTGGTTCAGCATTCTGCTGGGCATACTGTTGAGGCCCATACAGATCGGGATGGCTCGCGCTACGTTTTAGAGGTCAGTGATCCTGCTGATGCTGAAAAGCTGAAGCAGATCACTGAACTAAGTGGAGGGTTCAAGGTTCGGGTGGGTGCACACCCTACCTTGAACAAAATTCGTAGCGTGATATCAAGTGTGGATATCATCAACGAATCGGAGCAGACTCTGAAGGAGCATTTTGCTACACAAGGTGTAGTAGATGTCCACAGAATCTGCAAGGGTAGTGGCGAGGGGAAGGTTAACACCTCATCCGTGGTGTTAACTTTCGAGGGGACCAGCTTTCCGGAAACGGTTCAGTTTGGTCTCCTCAGCATTAGGACCCGAGCGTACTACGCTTTGCCCTTGCAGTGTTACAACTGCTATGGGTATGGGCATGGTCGCGCGGGTTGCAAGAACAAGACCAGGTGCAGGGTCTGTTCAGGGGTCCATCCGGTTGCCGAGAAATGTGGAGCAAAGGCCTTCTGCTCCAATTGTCGAGGCAATCATCAGCCGACTAACCGTAGGTGCCCTACCTACGTGAAGGAAGCTGATATCCTTAGGATCAAAACCAACCTTGGTGTCTCCTTTGGGGATGCCAAGAAGGTTTATAGCGACGAGCGAAGCGGGAAGTCCTATGCAGCGGTTGCTTTTTACCTCCCAAAGATAAGAAGAAGAAAAAGGCCAAGCAGGGAGCTGCGAAGTCGAACCCTCAGGGCAAGGGAACAGACGGAGCTCCACCTGCAAAGGGTGCCAAGACCGGCAAAAAGGGGACTACCCAGTGCAAGAGTATTGGGGTTGGTGCTAGTCCACCTGCCGGTCTTGTGCAAGTTGCTACCAAGAGTGGAAAGGCTACTGGTAGGGAGGGCAAAGTGCTAACCCAAGAGGTTGGCACCGACCCCTTGCCTGATGCCGAAACACCAACCGAGAAGGACAAACAGCTCCTGGAAAAGTTGGTGGAAAGTCTGCGAAAGGAGGTCGCCCTTGGCAAGGGGAAAATCAAACTGCTCAAGGAGTCGAAGACTCGCCTTGAGATGGAATGTGCTTCCCTTGTTGGACAACTCGAAAGAGTTGGCGTTAACCTCGACTCTGATGAGAGCGAGGTTACTGCTCTCGTGACCCGTAGAAAACGGAAGCAGACCGCCGGCCTCGAGGACACTCGTGGTAAGAAAAGCCGTAAAAAAGGAGAAAACACAGCACCTTCTCCCCCTATGGACTCGGTATCGGAGCGCGAAAGCGATGCTGTTACCGGTAAAAAGTAGTTACCATGTCTGATGTCCCACAACAGAATGGTAAAGAGCCATCGAACGTAATACTGCAATGGAATGTCCATGGGTTGCGATCAAAGTTATCTCAGATCCAGCTATTGACAAAGAAACTGAACCATTGTGTCGTCGCTCTCCAAGAAACGATGACCAAGGTAGCAGATCTACCTCCAAACTATCTCGGTGGTAGATATAAGTGGTATATTAAGCCTCACATTAATGCCTACATCCACGGCACTGGATTGGCTATTAGAGAAGATATACCACATAAGGTAGAGCAGTTGGATAATGAACTGGAGGTCACCGCGGTCACCATTCAGTTTCCGTATAAGCTGACAGTTGTTAGCTTATACATGGCTCCGAGGAATAGGGTTGACAAAGAAGTGAACGTCATCGGCAAACTGCAAGATCTCATCTCGCAGCTGCCTGTCCCTTATGTGATAGTGGGCGATCTGAATGCGCATCACCCCTCCTGGGGATCACATAAGACTGACGTTCGTGGCGAGAGGTTGTATCAGCTACTGGACACGTTGGGTTGTTCAGTGCTGAACGATGGCAGACCGACTCGGTTCGATCCCACCACCGGGGTAGAGTCCGTGATCGATCTGGCCATAGCCTGTTGGGATGTAGCTAGCCAGTTTATCTGGCGGGTTGACGATGACTTACACGGAAGTGATCATTTCCCTATCTCATTGTCACAGGCTGTAGACCTCCCGTCTACTGTGACAAGACTTAGATGGAACCTTGACAAAGCAGATTGGGACAGCTTTGGCAAAGAAGTCTGTCTCCAACTGCCTGGTGATGACACGATATTGAGACCAGGTGACTGGACCCAAATCTTGAGTAAGGCCGCTCATCGTCACATCCCAAAGCCTGGAGGGAGAGGAGGTATGAAAACTGTCCCTTGGTGGGGGACAGAAGTTCATATGGCGATTAAGGCTAGATGTCTAAGGGCGCTGCGTAGGCTGCAGCTTGATGATCCTTCTAGGGCCGATAGATTGAGGGAGTTTCAGCTTGCTCGATCTAAATCTAGAAGCGTAATCAAAGCTGCAAAGCGGGATACATGGTCTGCTTTCACCGCGGACATATCGGAAACCACTAGCTCTGGTGAGCTATGGCGAAAGTTTAAGTCTGTCGGTGGTAAGATTAGACATGTTGAGAGGGTGATTAAGTTGGATGGCGATTACACGAAAGACCCAGGACTGATCAGTGAGGCCTTTGCTGATCAATTTGCCAAGGTGTCGGCAAACAGCAATCACAGTGATGAGTTCCTGCGTGTAAAGTCATTCGCTGAGGGAGAGTACCGCTACTCCCGTGACAGGCAGTGTAGTCTAGTTAAAGACTA